TTTATATTGGTCGTGAGAGTTCTTTGTGTTAAGTTTGGTTCAATTCCATTGTTGGTGGGACAAAGGACTCTTGTCTGCTGGAGCTAGGTATGAATGTTTCAACTGACCACCTTGATTAGCATACAGTGGGCTGACTGTGCTAATCAAGGTGGTCACTCGAAACATTCACACCTAGCTCGAGCAGACAAAAGTCCTTTGTCTCACCCTGGTCATTCCACAGATATATAAACCCTTTTTCCTAGTCCCAACAGACCTCACTACCTCTGAGGATGCTTGCCATAGATGCAGGCAAAACGTCAGGAGAGAATGCCTCTAGACCATGGCCATATAGCCTGAAAAAACCTACAACAACCCAGTGATTCCGGCCATGAAAGCCTTCGACAAGACATTGTATAAGAATTGTTTGTTTGTATCTAACATCAAGAAAGGATGTTTTGGATGCGGTCGCAAGTTCCATCCTAGGCAGATGGGGGAATGAACTGCGTTTTGTTGTGTGTGTGTGTTTTGTGATGGTCAACTTGTGATAAAGGAAACTGACCCAGTCATGGATCAGGAGGACCAGACTGGGAACGTTCGAGGGGGATTCCTGAATGCATTCACGCTTTGCCCCACAACTGAGTCATAATAAAGGGAAGGGGAGTCACACCTCGGAGGTGGCGCAAGGCTGTGTTTTGGCTTCCAAAAGCATGCCTGGACATGTTGGTTGTGCAGAAACATTATTTCTAGAAAGGAGTCTGGGGAAAACGGGGATGCCAGGCTTCTTCTGTAACGGTTTAAGTCAGTGTTTTGCAACTTTCCTAATGCCTTGACCCCTTAATCCAGTTCCTCATGTTGTGGTGACCCCCAACCAGAACATTATTTGCGTTGCTACTTCACAACTATTATTTTGCTCCTGTGATGAATCATCATGTAAATATCTGATCTGCAGGATGTATTTTCATTCACTGGACCACATTTGGCACAAATACCCAGTATGCCCAAATTTGAATACTGTTGGGGTAGAGGGGGTTGGTTTTGTCATTTGGGAGTTGTAGTTGCTGGGATTTATTGTTCATCTACAATCAAAGAGCATTCTGAACTCCACCAACAATGGAATTGAACCAAACTTGGCACACAGAAGTTGGATGACCAACAGAAAATACTGGAAGGGTTTGGTGGGCATTGACGTTGAGTTTTGGAAGTTGTAGTTCACCTACAACCAGAGAGCCCTGTGGACTCAAACAATGATGGAGCTGAACCAAACTTCGCACAAATCCTCAATATGCCCAAAAGCGAACACTGATATAATTTGGGGGAAATAGACCTTGATATTTGGGAGTTGTAGTTGCTGGAATTTGTAGTTCACTTACAATCAAACAGCACTCTGAACTCCACCAACAATGGAATTGAACCAAACTTGGCACACAGAAGTTGGATGACCAACAGAAAATACTGGAAGGGTTTGGTGGGCATTGAGCTTGAGTTGTGGAAGTTGTAGTTCACCTACATTCAGAGAGCCGTGTGGACTCAAACAATGATTTATCTGAACCAAACTTCACAAGAATCCTCAATATTCCCAAATGCGAACACTGATAGAGTTTGGGGAAAATAGATCTTGATATTTGGGAGTTGTAGTTGCTGGTATTTATAGTTCACCTACAATCAAAGAGCATTCTGAACCTCACCAATGATAGAATTGGGCTAAACTTCTCACACAGAACCCCCATGACCAACAGGAAATTCTAGAAGGGTGCAGAGTGCTCATTGATTGCCGGTGAACTATAAATCCCAGTACCTACAACTCCAACCTTTGTCAGAGCAACTTTAGGTTGTTGTAGGTTTTTCCAGGCTATATGGCCATGTTCTATAGGCATTCTCTCCTGACGTTTCGCCTGCATCCATGGCAAGCATCCTCAGAGGGAGTGAGGTCTGTTGGAACTAGAAAAATGGGTTTATATATCTGTGGAAAGACCAGGGTGGGACAAAGGACTCTTGTCTGCTGGAGCTGGGTGTGAATGTTTCAACTGACCACCTTGATTAGCATATAATGGCTTGGAAGTGCCTGGGGGAATCTTTTGTTGAGAGGTGATTTGATGTGCCTGATTGTTTACTCTCTGTTGTTTTGCTGTTGTAATTTTAGAGGTTTTTTTAATACTGGTAGCCAGATTTTGTTCATGTTCATGGTTTCCTCCTTTCTGTTGAAATTGTCCACATGCTTCTTGTGGATGTCAACGGCTTCTCTGTGTCGTCTGACATGGTGGTTGTGAAAGTGGTCCAGCACTTCTGTGTTCTCAAATAAAATGCTGTGTCCAGGTTGGTTCACCAGGTGCTCTGCTATGATTCTGGCCATGAAAGCGCTCGACAATACATTAATATTCTGGGTTGTACAGCTGTGCGGAAGGACCCTTTACCAACCAAGTGAAGGCTTTCATACAGAGACTATTTCATCCTAGATGTTATGTGTATCCTCCACCACAGACATCCCAGTGTTCCTTACTCTCTCCATTGGTATGGAATTCCCATGAACCCACCCACTGCCTCTGCCTTAACTCTTTCCTATTCTTTTCTATGGCACACAGCAAACAGAGGAATTGATCGCCAACTGAGAGGTTTGGGGAGAATTCACTGTTCAAGGGATGAACTCCTGTTTATATTTGAGTCCGGACATAATGCATGCGGCATCTTTCCTCCGGCACAAACCCCATTGGAACAAATGAGGAGACATGCCTGAAGGCAGCAGTGTTTGTGCCTAATTCCCTTTCATTTGTGCTTGAGGACCTCTTGACGGACGTCCCTACCGCTCAGGAGTGTGTCTCTTCCACTCGGCCACCCTTGACAGCCTCCGAAATCTGTTGCCCGAGGCAGGTGCCTCGGAGAGGAAGCCACTTCCTGGCACATTTGGCATTGCCACATGCTTCTCGTTGCAGAGACGTTTCCAAATAGAAATGAAGGCGAAATGTTCTTTCTGCACGCACGGTTGGTTGTACACATGTGCAACACTGAAATTGCTGGGGTGTCCATCAGTTGTGTAACCATCATGGAAAGTAAACAGAGCCTAGACGTACAGTGGCGTACATTAATAATTTGGTGTGCATTCCTGTTTGATATGGGCGTTGTTCAAAGATGTGCTTGAAATGTGTTCCCCATAATTGCAGAACATGCCAAGCTGCATTCAGAGAAAGCCTTGGACAGTTTGTGCGACCCACAAAACAGACTCCAGGTTATGCCAGGCACTTTGCACTATCTTGTTTTGTGTAGTTTTGGGCAGGATTATGATTTTGTTGGATAGAATCATAGAGTTGGAAGAAACCTCATATTTATTTATTTATGGCATTTATATGCCACCCTTCTCATCCCAAAGGGGACTCAGAGCGACTTACAAGGTATATATTACATACATTATATTATTAGCATAGGACAATATCAGCATTAAACATTGCTATATTGCACCATACCACTATATTGTGATATTATTAGTAATATTACATGTAATCTATCTATATAAAAATGCTCTGTGCATAATGAGTACCTTAAAAACAAAAGAACCAATGAACGAAATCACACCAAATTTGGCAACAAAACGTCTCACAATGCAAGGAGTGACCATCACTCAAAAAATTGTGATTTTGTCATTTGGGAGTTGTACTCGCTGGGATTTATAGTTCACCTACAATCCAAGAGCATTCTGAACTCCATCAACGATGGAATTGAACCAAACTTGGCACACAGAACTCCTATGACCAACAGAAAATATTGGAAGGGTTTGGTGGGTGTTAACCTTGACTTTGGGAGTTGTAGTTCACCTACATCCAGAGAGCCCTGTGGACTCAAACAATGATGGATCTGGACCAAACTTGGCATAAGCACTCAATACACCCAAATATGAGCACAGATGGAGTTTGGGGGAAATAGGCCTTGACATTTGTGAGTTGCAGTCACTGGGATTCACAGTTCACCTACAATCAAAGGGTATTCTGAACCCCACAAACGACAGAATTGGGCCAAACTTCCCACACAGAACCCCCATGACCAACAGAAAATACTTAGGGCCATCCAATCCAACTCGCTTCACCAGGGCAAGAAAACGTAATCAAAGCCCCCCTGACAAAGAGCCATCCAGCCATAGATAGAGATAGTTAGATATGATTCACACAAAAATAGATATAGTATCATAGATGTGAAAGGGACCCCTAAAGAAGGACAATTACATGTTGCATGTTCCAGAGTGCGCAAACCAGACAATCTCCACATCAACAATGACAAAGAAACAAGAAATACTGTTTACCCACATGCATAAGGAAATTACATATATTAGAAGGCAACGCTTTCTCATTGCTTTATTTTCCAGACCAACAGACTGGGCCACTGCAACACCTGGCAGGGGACAGCTAGTATAAATATATAATTATATCTTCTTCTTCTTCTTCTTCTTATTATTATTGTTATTATTATATTGCATCACATCTATATAAATAAAAATGTGATGTTTGTTTGTGGGCTTAACATAACTCAAAAACCACTGGAGGAATTGACACCAAATTTGGACAGAAGACACCTCTCAGGCCAGGGAGTGACCATCACTCATAAAAACACTGAAAAACACAACAGAAGAAACTTAAAAAGCCAAAAAATAAAAATACATTACAACGCATATGCAAAACCACATATATACACATATACACAAATATATACACCCAAAAAACACGTATCCACAGACTGGGTCACAGCAACGCGTGGCCAGGTACAGCTAGTAATATTATAAATATTTTATGTATACATATTATATCATATTATATTATTAAAATAGCACAGGATGGAACAAGATGGAACTGTCCCCTGGCCCCCTCTCTCTTCACTCTGGCCCAGAGCAACAGTTGTACACATGTACTCATAGGCCATCCAGTCCAACTACCTGCCAAGAAGCAGGTTCACCATTGATTGGGTTGCGACATGCACAGCCATGCTCTGGGCTGGATTTCCCAGAACACTAGACCTTACCTTCCCATGTCTGCAATTCACAGGGGGATGCTAGAAGAAGCCCGGAATGCCTTATGTGGACCGTCAGAACCGGATTTGTGGGTTCCTGGACATTGAGGACAATGAGGCCAGCGGCAGGTTCCTGCGGAGATATTTCATCTTGGATACCCAAGCCAACAGCCTTCTGTGGTACATGGACAATCCTCAGGTGAGGCTGTCTTCTGCTGCACACCTTTTGTGTCCTGTGTAAATCTATCTTTGTTTGTCCAAATGTATGCCTAGATGTGCATGGCTTGACGAATGCAAGGCTGGGGTTAAAATTGCTGGAAGAAACATGAACAACCTTAGATATGCTGATGATACCACTTTGATGGCTGAAAGCGAGGAGGAACTGAGGAGCCTTCTAACCAAGGTGAAAGAAGAAAGTGCAAAAGTTGGGAGTTGCAACTCAGAGTAAGCTTCACCTTGCTTCCGAACACCACCTCACAAGAGCTGTAGTTTTATAGTTTATTGAGGAAGAAATCCAAGTCAAAATAAAGAATAAGCATTGTAAAGTTCCAAAGATTAGGGTTAAATGCAGAATATAGTTCCAAAGATCTTAAGGTAAAAGCAGGAGGACACAATCCTATTGGCAAAGTTCAAAGCAGAGTCCCAGGTACAAGCAAGGAAACAATTGCCCCATGAATCACAATGCAAGAAATCCCAAGCGTACTGTTTTCCAGGCTAAGATTATTCCATGAAGCTTTCAGGCTAATATGCTACGTTGAACTGACACTTTCCCTTGGTTTGCAAGAAGCCTAAATACCTTTCTAACATGAAAACATCACATGAAATCATTGCGATGACCTTTCACCGAGCTGGCCTCTCGTCTGCTAGCCAGGCGAGAACTCCGCCTGACCCGGAGATCAAGACGAGGTTGCTGGGTCAGGTCACTGTCAAGGTGGGAAATCACCATCAGTGTGGGAAGGAGGAGGCGAATACCTCCCCACCTGTTCACTATCTCCTTCATTAAAATTCCTTTCTCTTGGGATGTTGATGTTAACTCTGCACTGTCTGTGCTGTCTGTGGGAGCCGCAGGCCCAGAGATCTGAGGCACAGAAAAAGAGCCATCTGAATCCCAACATCCTCATCATCACAGAACATCTAAGCCACAACACTGGGTTACAGTTAAACATAAAAAACCAAGATTATGGCAACCGGACTGATTAATAACTGGGAAATAGAGGGAGAAAACGTGGAGGCCGTGACAGGGTTTGTATTTCTCAGTGCAAAGACCCACACTGCAGCCAGGAAATCAAAAGACGTTTCCTTCTTGGGAGGAGAGCCATGACCAATCTCGATCAAAGAGTGAAAAGTAGAGACATCACACTGGGAATGAAGATCCGCATAGTTAAAGCAATGGCATTCCCCGTAGTCACCTACGGATGTGAGAGTTGGACCAGAAGGAAGACTGAGCGAAGGAAGAGAGATGCTTTTGAACTGTAGTGCGGGAGGAAAGTGCTGAGAGTGCCTTGGACCGCCAGAAGATCCAACCAGTCCATCCTTTGGCCACAGAATGAGAAGACAGGAAAGCTTGGAGAAGACTTTTTTTTTGTCGTGCCAGGAGCGACTTGAGAAACTGCAAGTCGCTTCTGGTGTGAGAGAATTTGCCGTCTGCATGGAGGGAGGCTTCTCTCATGTCCCCACATGAGGAGCTGGAGCTGACAGAGGGAGCTCATCCGTGCTCTCTCCGGATTCGGACCTATGAGCTATCGGTCTTCAGTCCTGCCGGCACAGGGGTTTAACCCATTGCACCACTGGGAGCTCCTGGAGAAGACAATGATGCTGGGGGAAATGGAAGGAAAGAGGAAGAGGGGCTGACCAAGGGCAAGATGGATGGATGGCATCCTTGAAGTGACTGGATTGATCTTGAAGGAGCTGGGGGTGGTGACGGCCGACAGAGAGCTCTGGCGTGTGCTGGTACATGAAGTCACGAAGAGTCAAAAGCAACTGAACAAATTAACAACAACATGTCTAGATCTGGTTTAAAAGCCCCTCTCTGCTTGTTGTATGTCAGCTTGTTCAGACTGTGATTGTGTCTGATGTTTAGGATGGAAATGGGTTTTTTGTTCCTCACAGTGGACCTGGATCTATTGGCAATGGGGATGAGGGTTTGCTGAGGCCTGGAAGATTCACAAGGTCACATTCCTGGGAGAGGCCTTTTGCAGTCTTTCTCAGGGCAACTGTCTGATGATGATTTGACAGGTGCAGAAATTAATGAGAGTCAACTTAATGATAGAAAGCAAAACTTTTGTAAACAAAGACAGAGTGCTCAGGCAAACAAGATCAGTTCGCTTACAGGAAAAGAGATTAAAAAAACACTTTTATCTGTTGGTAAGGTCAAGAGAAATGCTTTCCTTTTGGTTTTGGGATCTGGAAAAGCCTTATATTGTTTCATGAAAAGAGTTGCCTCAGTTGGGTCAACCTTGGAGTTTCATGACAGTCTTGTTTCAACCATGAAAAGGAGCAAAATCTGGCTTGTTGTTGTTCATTCATTCAGTCGTCTCTGACTCTTCGTGACCTCATGGACCAGCCCACGCCAGAGCTCCCTGTCGGCCGTCACCACCCGCAGCTCCTTCAAGGTCAGTCCAGTCACTTCAAGGATGCCATCCATCCATCTTGCCCTTGGTCGGCCCCTCTTCCTTTTACTTTCCACTTTCTTCTCTAGGCTTTGCTGTCTCCTCATGATGTGGCCAAAGGACTTTAATTTTGTCTCTAGTCTCCTTCCCTCCAGTGAGCAGCCGGGCTTTATTTCCTGGAGGATGGACTGGTTGGATCTTCTCGCAGTCCAAGGCACTCTCAGAACTTTCCTCCAACACCACAGCTCAAAAGCATCTCTTCCTTCGCTCAGCCTTCCCTAAGGTCCAGCTCTCACATCCGTAGGTGACTACAGGGAATACCATGGCTTTGACTAGGCAATGGATCTTGGTTGCCAGTCTGATGTCTCTACTCTTTACTATTTTATCGAGACTGGACATTGCTCTCCTCCCAAGAAGGAAGCGTCTCCTGATTTCCTGGCCACAGTCTGCATCTGCACTCATCTTTGCACCTAGAAATACAAAGTCTGTCACGGCCTCCACGGTTTCTCCCTCTATTTCCCAGTTGTCAATCATTCTTGTTGCCATAATCTTGGTTTTTTTGATGTTTAGCTGCAACCCGGCTTTTGCGCTTTCTTCTTTCACCTTGATGAGAAGGCTCCTCAGCTCCTCCTCGCTTTCGGCCATCAGAGTGGTGTCATCTGCATATCTGAGGTTGTTAATGTTTCTTCCAGCCATTTTCACCCCAGCTTTGCATTCATCCAGCCCCGCACATCCTCGCATGATGTGTTCTGCATACAAGTTAAAAAGGTTGGGTGAGAGGATGCAGCCTTGCCGGACGCCTTTCCCAATCTTGAACCCGTCTCCTGTTCCGTGGTCATTTCTGACTGTTGCTCCTTGGTCCTTGTACAGATTCCTCAGGAGAGAGGGAAGGGGGCTTGGGATGCCCATCCCACCAAGAACTTGCCACAATTTATTATGATCCACACAGTCAAAGGCTTTAGAATAGTCAATGAAGCAGAAGTAGATGTTTTTCTGAAACTCCCTGCCTTTCTCCATTCTCCAGTATCCGGATATTGGCAATCTGGTCTCTCGTTCCTCTGCCTTTTCTAAACCCAGCTTGAGCATCTGGCAACTCTCGCTCCATGTCTTGCTGGAGTCTTCTTCCTTGCAGGATCTTGAGCATTCCCTTCCTGGCATGAGGAGAAATAAGGGCCACTGTACGGAAGTTGGAGCAGTCTTTTGCATTTACCAGTATTTAAATTTTTAAAAATTAAAACAGTAAATAAAAAATAAGACTCAAAAAGCAGGGAATTCCAGAGAAGAATCAATCATGGCCAGCTAACACATCCCAACAAAGGATCCTCACAGCAGGAAGCAGCCAGGCTTTGAAGCTGCAAGACCATTCAGTGCTAACCAAGGTGGCCAATTGCAACATTCACACCTGCCTCAAGTGGACAAGAGTTCTTTCTCCCACCCTGGACATTCGACATATCTATAAACCCTCTTGCCTAGTTTCCAAGAGACCCCTCAACCTCTGAGGATGCCTGCCAGAGGTATGGGCGAAAGGTCAGGAGAGAGTGCTTCTGGAACATGGCCATACAGCCCGGAAAACTCACAGCAACCCATTTGCCCTTTATGTTTGATGGAATCTGCCCCTTGGGAGATAAGGCAGAATATAAATAAATTATTATTATTATTATTATTATTATTATTATTAATATTATTAATAAGCGATTCTAGGGATTGCAAACCAGCCATCCCTTCCAACCCACAAAATTGAAACAGCCTGTCCTTTTCCAATGTGGTATCATGGAATTCAAGACCAGAGAGGATACTCTCTGACCCAGCAGTTTGCTCTGACTCATATCATTCCTTCCCCTGTCTGAATGTCTTAGTAAGGAAACCACAACAGATCCTCTTTGTCTGGGAAATTCCCATGGCCAGCTGGCAAGCTCTCATCTGAGCCTATTTGGAGGGCAGCACACATACATGGTTACATTTTTTGTAAACTCTGAGTTAATTCAGCTACCGTTTGCATCCAATTCTTATCTTCCCAGTGAATATTTTGGTCAGCCCTGCACGTCTGTTAGAGAAAAGGAACAGTGGCTGAATGCCTTTTCCTAGAACTGGCCGAAAAGTCCCAAAGTGGTGCGGAAGTGCTCTCTTTAGTTTGAGGGCAGGGAGAAAATGAGGAAAATCCTAGAGCATTGTGAAAYTGTGTCTCTCTGAATGCCTTATAGAGTGCATCTACATCAGGCATGGGCAAACTTTGGCCCTCCAGAAAGAGACAGAGGCTGCAATAGGATTGAGGAGGATCCTTCAAAAGACAGAGGATGCATCTACACCAGGCATGGGCAAACTTTGGCCCTCGAAAAAGAGACAGAGGTTGCAATAGGATCGAGGAGGATACTTCAGAAGACTGAGGATYAATCTACACCAGGCATGGGCAAACTTTGCCCTCCAGGCAAAAGACAGAGGCTCCAATATGATCGAGGAGGATCCTTCAAAAGACAGAGGATGCATCTACACCAGGCATGGGCAAATTTGCCCCTCTAGAAAAAAGWCAGAGGATCGAGGAGGATCCTTCAGAAGACAGAGGATGCATCTACACCAGGCATGGGCAAATTTG